AACTCAATGTATTTCACATGATTTTTTTTTAATATCAATTTAATCCTTACTTTAATAATCCCTTATAATAGGTAATTTAAAATAAGTTTAAAATTATTTTCTTCATAGTTTCATTTTCACATTTTTTTTTCTTTTTTTTCAATTCAGTTTCAGATTTTTCTCATTTTTTTCTTTTGCTTTTATTCTTTTATTTTCTCTCTCTTTTCACGTTATTATTAACAAAGGAAAAAGGATGCCATATTTCACGAGTATTTTTAATTAAATGTTACAATTAAAATATATGCAGTAAATTTCTATACACACACACACACGCTTATACACTATAGACTGACATATATATATTCATAATGAGTTTGAATGTGATAAAGTCAATGTGATAAAAAAAACGCGAATTACTTGATAATGGATAAGAAATTTCGTTTTTCCCGTTTTTTTTTCTCTTCTCTCAGAGCAATTTTTATTTGCAATAATGGCAAAAAAAATTAAATGGGGAAAAATGCAATAACCCTTAAGGCAATGGAATTTTTTTTTTATTCATTCACAACATATAAAAATATTTAAAATAAGGATGAAAAAATAAAATTTATTTTTTATAATATAGAAATGGAAACAAGTAAAAACGTTTCAGTCGGTATAAACCGATTGAATTATACCCTGCACCTTTCGTTGTTGTATAGCAATTACTCAAACCTGTGAAACCATTCTATAGAAACTTTACGGATATGTTTGACCTATAACAGACACACAACTGCCAAGTTTCATGAATCTGACTTTATTATTTTTCCAAATATTTAAAATTAGCTTTTGGAGTTGTATGGCAGGTACCCCAACCTGTCAAGCAATTCCACTAAAACTTCAGAAATATATCTGACCTATAATTGGACACATGACTGCCAAGTTTCATGAATCTGACTTTATTATTTTGCCGAATATAAAAAATTTGCGTTTGGAGTTGTATGGCAGCCACCCGAACCGGTGCAGCTATCTCATTAAAATTTTTAGAGCATATGTAGAATATAATTGGACCCATGTATACAACATTTTATATTTGTACCTTTATTAGTTTTTGAAATATTTAAAATAAACTCTTTGAGTTGTATGGCAGCTACCCGAACCTGTCAAGCAATTTCACTAAAACTTCGCAAATATATCTGATCTATAATTGGACACACAACTGCTAAGTTTCATGAATCTAACTTTTTTATTTTTCCAAATATTTAAAATAAGCTTTTGGACTTGTATGGGAGCTTCTCGAACCTACCAAGCAATTCCACCAAAACTTCAGAAATATCTTTGACCTATAATTGGACACACGATTGCCAAGTTTTATGAATCTGACTTTATTATTTTTCCAAATATTTAAAATAAGCTTTTGGGCTTGTATGGGAGCCACTCGAACCTGTCAAGGGATTCCACCAAAACTTCAGAAATATCTTTGACCTATAATTGGACACACAACTGCCAAATTTCATGAATCTGACTTGATTATTCTTCCAAATATTTAAAATTAGCTTCTGGAGTTGTATGGCAGGTACCCGAACCTGTAGAGCAATTCCACTAAAACTTCAGAAATATATCTGACCTATAATTGGACACATAACTGCCAAGTTTCATGAATCTGACTTTATTATTTTGCCGAATATAAAAAATTTGCTTTTGGAGTTGTATGGCAGCCACCCGAACCGGTGCAGCTATACTATTAAAATTTTTGGAGCATATGTAGAATATAATTGGACACATGTATACAAAATTTTATATTTGTACCTTTATTAGTTTTTGAAATATTTAAAATAAACTCTTTGAGTTGTATGGCAGCTACCCGAACCCGTTGTCCGAATTAATCCAATAACAATAGGGTTCGTCCTTGGCACAAAAGAAACAACTTGTGAAAGTTTGGTGTCGATTGCATTATTCGTTTTTGAGTTATCGTGCGATCGGACGGACGGACGGACGGACGGACGGACGGACGGACGGACATGTCTAAATCAACGCAGAATTTTACGCTGAGCAAGAATATATATATATGTCCATACCGCAGATGACTCCTTCAAGTAGTTACAAACTCCATACCAAAGTTAATATACCCTTCACGAAGTGCAGGGTATAAAAAAAGGGGTTGATAGGTTGGTTGGTTGGTTGATTTTAAAGGTACAAAAAATAAACTCACAAAATAGCTTAATTCGATTTATTTATGTTGGGAAAATGAAAAAAAAAATTGTAAGTGATACACGCGACACATTTATAAAAAAAAAAAATTGGTTTATAAATAAATTTATTTAAGTGTTGCATTAAAGTAGGTAAGAAAATATTATTAAATTTATTAAAATTGTATTTTTTTTTTGTTATAGTTTGTCAGCTCTGAGCAATTCAGTGGCTTCAAGCACAAACGACTTAAGTCTGTTTTAGTGATTTCGAGATAAATGCATTTTAAACTTTAAATTTAATTTTGAAAAAAGTTATGAAGTTTTTTGAGCCAATTTTTTTTTTTATCGAAAGATAATTAAAAAAGGAAGCGATTAACTCATAATCTGAAGTAAAACAACTAATAGTATTCTCATAATTATGAAAAAAGTGAGATAGGCGGTTATACAAAATTTATAAAAAGCATTTTGCAAAGCATATCTCGAGTTAGGCGATTTGTGAAAAATTACTTTTGCATTTTTGTCAAACTTAAGTCGACTTAAGCTGTTGTTGCAAAACTGAAAATATGGTTTTAGGTGACTTAAGTTATATTAAAAAGGAAAGAAATATATATATTATTTTTAGGTTATTTGATTTTTCACTCTTTTTTCAAATCATTGTCATAAAAACCATAAATTGATGCAAGAAATGAATAAACTTCAAGGAAAAATTATTTTTAAATTTTTAGAAATTCATGTATTATTTCGAACACTAAACGCTTAATTTTGATTTATTGTTCTTATTTGCACGCGTTATAAAAACCTAACTCAACATAAGAAGCCTTTTGGAATATAATTGCATTTGCAATAATCGCCTAACTCGAGATGAGTTTAAACAACCAACAATTATTATTTTACACAAACCACTTATGTCGAGTTAGTATTTAAAAAAACTCAAAATTAATTTTGCAACAAACGCTTAACTCGAGATAAGCGGTTGTAAAAATTCATACAAATAAAAAAAAAAGTCACTAATTTCGATTTGCAACAATAGCCTATCTCGAAATAAGTGGTTTGTCAAAAACATAAAAAAGATGTTTTCTGCTCTTAACTCGATTTAGGCGATTAGTGCAAGTGCATATGGTTGCCATTTCGAGTTAGGTCATGTGTGAATCCGACAATAACTCCGGCTGCAATAGTCGTAGAACCACCAAAATTTGTGAGCATATGAAACTCAAAACGGAGAATTCGCTGGTAAACATATCTCATTTTTGTCTTAACTCGAGTTAGGCGGTTTGTGTTTGAGGCCACTGAATTTTTCAAGTATAATGTGATTATTCTGAATTTTGGGAGCTATTTTGTATTTATTTATGTACGTAATTGGGAATTCAATTCCAGGCTTTAATTCTATACCTAATCATGAATTAGGTATGATAATGTTACAAGAATGTGATATTCATTGCGTATTAATCAAATAAAAATTAAAATAAGCTTTGAAAGCAGCGAGGTATGGGAGATATGTCATCTCTGGGAAATGCGGCAAGGAGCGGCACCACCATCATGTTGTACATCCACCTCATGATAGAAGAGGATCATCCCCACGTTCTATTCGAAATGGCCCTGCACACCATGAATGCCCGAGTAGCCTTTGCTATTACCACTTCTTCTACACCAAGGTATTTCACCTCCGTTTTCCCTTCTACTGTCTCTCCGCACACCTGTATAGTGCGCAAACTCTCAAGCTTTTTTGTCGTAGTAAAGGGCACCATATCGTCTTGCTAGGATTGAGTTTGAGCCACACCAGGCATCTTGGCACTATGTCGCAAAGAGCCTCCTCAAACTCCCCCCTTGCGATGATAACAATATCATCAGCGTATGCTTGGGTACCTAAATCCCGACGGCCAAGCTCCTCAAATAGGCCATCCACAGAAAGACTCCACATCAGTGGAGAAAGGACTCCTCACCGTGCTCCGCCCGACTAAAGTTTCTGCAACCCTTGTAGTGAGCATCCCGGTCATCCAGAGCGACGTCGTGGTGTCCACGCTCCTGTTCCCCAAGGGCCTCTCTGTCACCTCGTGCGAGGTGTTATCGAAGGTCCCGTCAATGTCCAGAAACGCACGGAGACGCACTAAATATACATACACAAAATATATATATAAAAATATTAAAATAAACATTAATATTAAAATTTTATTTTCATTTAATTAATAATTAATTTAACACATTAAATGCAATTTTATGTATTCCATGGTGATTTCATCTTAATTTTAATTCAATTGATAATCATGCCTTTTGTAATTGACTATTATATGCCTGTATGTATGTATATAAGTTGATAATCGTTCAAAAATTGTTGATTTAATTGAAATATCTCATTTATTCCTTTATACAATAGATACAAGACAAGAAAAATCAATTTATTACCAATTAAATTGCATTTTTCTCTTTACAAAGAAGAAAAATAATAAAGGATTCATTCATAAAATTCATAAAAAAAAGGCAAAGAAAAAAATTAACAATAAATTATTCATCTCACTAAAGAGCCATTAATTCTCTTATAATATAACTGTTGTAATAGAATTCCCCATAAGTGACAACATACTGTAACACAAAAAGAGAAAAACAATAATAATGATAAAAATTGAGAGCGAAAAAAAAGAGAAAATCTTAAATTGATAACACATTCATTATTGAAATTTTGCTTTAATTTAATGACTTATAAATTGAAAGAATATTTTAAGGACCAAAATAAAAAAAAAAATGACAATAAACCAATTTAAATAAGGATGTATACATAATCATCTGTTATATACGACACAATATTTAAGTATACAGGATGTTCACTGTACAATACTGAGAGGGTGTAATTGAAATTCGAATATAAAATATTGCAATTGTAATTGCTATAGAAAATTAGGGTGTCATTTGTTTTAATACATAATAATATTTACGATTTAACTAAAAATTACGTGATTAGGAACGTAGGGCAAAGGTAGTACGAGCTCGCCATAGCGTCCCACTCCTTGGATCCTGGGCCACAAAAATATAACGGAAAAAACAGGCGGATGAGCTGGCTAAGTAGGTGAGTTGGCACATGAGTTGGTGTGGCTCAGCCATGAATATTTCTGAGGACGAACAGATTTTCACTGTGAAAATGATTATATTATGATCGTAGATAGACATATATAGCACAAGTAGAAAACACTATGGACATGCAGGACGACAAGCAAAGTAAAATAACACTTGATGACAGTCAACAAGGAATATTGACGTTCAGGAAGCATGCGGCTGGTTTAGAATTACCCTTCAATACAACGTTTGGAAGCATCCGCATGGATGCATTTTCAATTGCCTCTGCGAGTGTCCGGCCTAGGATAAAATATAAAATTTGTAAATATTTAACAAGTATTTAATAATAGTAAGTAATTAATTACTTTTAAAATATTTATGATAATTACTGATACGATGAGGTAATTTTTCAGCACAACACCAATTTTCTGCAATATAAAAAGTGAAAAAAATAATTGAAATAGTCCTAACCAAGATCAAATTCTCTAATTATAATATTTAAATTTTAAGAAAAATTTTCTTACAACGTACTACCGCTGTCTTCTTTCACAACAATTTCAATTAGAGTTTCTCCACATCCTAAACAAATTGAAGGGGCTACTCTGTAAACAAGGTTACAAACACAGACATACATTATTAATAATACAAAATCGTAAAATTTTTTTATTACCTCTCTAAATACTCCTCTCATTTTTACTCTCTCATCACATCGATTACTTTTCCAAAACCTATTATCATACCTACAAAAAAATTAGTTACTGTAAAGTGATAGCTTCCATAAATAATGTATGTAAGTATATGTAGGTACGCATATGCATCATATTAGAGAATAGACAATTTTATGATAACTGACATGAAAAGGACTTCACTTTTTGCAATATCTGTAAATATATATTAAATCATACAGACACATACACAGTTTTAATACTTAGTTGATAACCAAAAAAATATTTTATGGAATATTCTTTTCAAAAAAAGAAACTGGGAGACAACGTAGATCAAAAAATTATTAAAAGGTTTTTCTATAAAAGAATACTAAAAAGCACGTGATACGAAATTGTTATGCAATTCAATGTTCTACAGCTCCCTCTACAATTACAAATATACAAACTTAAATATGTTCACCTCCGATTTTTTATATATTTTATATCCCTAAAATTTAGACATAAAATATTTTAAAGATCAAAAAACATTACCAAAATATTATCCATTTAGTTATATTGCACCAATATATAAAAACAAGAGAAATTATATTTGAAATATGTGAAAACGTCAGTTCTTAAAATTATAGGATACAAACGTCATGAAATTTAAACTATATTTGCAAACATTTAGCATTTTAGTTGGTGCCAATTTAGTTCATTTTAGTTCAGCTCAATTCAAAACCGCTCAAAATACGACTCAACAAATTGCACTTACCAATTAAATTGATCTATTGAGTCTCGAGGGGGTGTTGTAGAGGCACCCTCCACACCTATAGTCAATAGATCCTTTAAAAGAACTTAACAATCTGCGAGAATGTTAAAGTGAAAATCAGGAAATCCATTAGAATTGGGGACAATAGTCGCAAAAAATATTTTTTTCGCACACAATTGAGCCTTTGCGCTGGTCGCTGTGTCCTTTTAACCCATGTGGACAGTCTACAATCTACGATCTAGTCGACTTATCAACGAAACTCATATTATGTAACCTTAGCATTTAAAAATAAATCCAAATTTTATTTTGATAGTAATAATAAAAGAAAGTGAAAAAGCAAACTTTAAATAGAAAAAGAAATCTACAAATGGAAACGAAAATAAAAACAAAAACATAAATTGTAACAGATAAAAATTATTACACATTACAACGAACACACACAACCACTGACTTACCGTTATGCATGTATTCTAAGAAAACGTATAAATAAAACAAAAACGGAACAAAAAAAAAAAATTATTTTTTACGACTTTTGTCACAAATTCTAATGGATTTTCTGATTTTCACGTTAACACTCTTGCACATCGTTAAGTGCTTTTCCAACTGTAATTTTTTTCTTTTTCATCTTGCTACTATACATTTTATGATACGCCATCCTCTCCCATTTTTCCCTCCATTATATATTTTGTGTAGTTCACATTTTTCACACTACAGTTCTTATTCTTATACATATTTATTTCTTATATATAATAATTGAAGGACCTATATGTATACGCTCAAATATATTCATTACACAAAATTATGTATGATAATAAAAACTTCCAAGGATTATGACTTACACATATTATGAATATCTTATGGAAATTCTCAAAAAAAAAAATTAAGATTCTTTACACCTGATTGTTAAAATTATATGACATTATTATTGTTATTCATTGTTTTTCTATACATGATAGTAAAATGCCTTTAAATATATTGATAAGGTAACTATAGAAAATTTTTGATAATAATATTATTATTATTACACTTTATATAATATAATTTATAATTCATCTGTGCGTTTTACTTTTGTGTATTTTTATTAGATTCTCCTCGTTAAAATTAATACGATTCTTCTTCGACTTTAATTGTTATTTTGTAGTTATTGATAATGGAAAAGGTATACTGTAATATTATAACAATGGCAATATTAATAATAATGGCGGATAAAATCATAGAAATAAATAAAGTTGAATAAAAAAAACATAATATAGATTAAGCAATTTGGATAATTTTGTAGTGATTATATTGAATTTTACCCGAATTAGAATTTAGAATAACTAATAGCTTTAACACAGCTTTTAATGTGTTCTTTAAACACTCTTTCACTATTTATTTAATCACCATGACACTTTGATAAGTTGTTCAAAAAACTCCTGCGTATTCTAAAAAAAACCGATTCGTTCAGAATTTATAGCAACAGAATCGATATTTTAAGCCGTTTCAAGCCCTGTTATACTCATATTGAAAGCCGACAAATGTGTGCACAGGTAAAGTTACTGAAAAATGTAGTCACACGGGGAAATCTTAAATTTCTGTTCCTGGAAATTCTTGAAAATCAGCCTTATAAAAGCCCAACGTTGTTGAAACATCAATTTAATTTCCGATGCGTAGCACTTGTGCAATAACCATCAATTAAGCTGAAGCACGATTGTTAAATTAGTGTTTAAAAAAATCCGTATTTCTCGTACATACAATTATATGCGGCCAACCTACTCGTCGGAAAACCTTCTAATTTATTCGTATATATTAAAAAATGTTTCCACTTACTTTCTTCTTATATCCCAGGAACGCCGGCCGGTAAAATATTAAAACTATAAAAATAACTTTAAAAATAATTTTACAAACAAGCAAAACACTTCAACAATTTCTACATTTTCATCAACAAAAATTTTGTTAGATGAAAGTTATGTGATTATTAATATAAAAGGATTCCCAATTGTTTTTCTATTAATAAAATATACACATATATTTAGCAACTACAATATACATACTTACATTTATACACAGAACATCGTAAGTTATATGAAATGGGATAAGAAATTCAGAGTAAAATTCGAAAATAAATTAACATCTCCCTTATATAATTACGTCAACACATATATGACTATATACATGAATAATATATAAGAAGGTAAAAGAACAAGTATAATAAAGAGCAATGAATATCATAATTTTCTTAATATGCAATGTCCTTAAATTATTATCTGCGTTAGGTACAATGTAAAAAAGGTAACAATAGCAAATGGGAAGAAGAAAAAATAAGGATATTTGTGCGTTTATTGTTATATGTATTTTTCTTTCTGAAAAAAAAAGGATATGAAAATAAATGATGAAATTGTGATCGCTTAATTTAACGAGAACAATAAAGTTATAACCGAGAAAATATATTGTGGAGGAGAATAAAATAGATACACAAAATATTAAGAGAAAAAAAAACAACACACATGTGTACATAAACTTTGGTTACAAAATAATAAAATGATAATAAAAAAAAATATAAAATAAAAATCCTCTTAATAAATATTATAATGGTTATTTTCCCACAACAATCAAAAAACCAAACAAGAACAATAAATTTGAACATTATAAAAAACAACGTAAAAATAACTTCACTTACTTAACTTTAGGATCGCCTTCAAACTTCAAACATCTGAAATATCAACAATAACAACATTTCTGTAGGAGCCAAGTCAGATCAAAAAATATCGGAATTCATCCCCAGATGAGATCTGAAACCAAAAGATAATCAACCCTTTTCTCGGACATATTCCTCCTATTAAATCCTATAATTGCAAACTACCCTTATCCAAATTAAGATGTTATACAGGATCCGTGCCGATAATCAGCTTGTCTAAGGGGCCAGTCAAATTCCATTCACGAACGAAGTCTCCAGATACTTGGCAACCTTCGGATTATAAAACCTTGTCTAAGTACGGCGAGTCTCTGCCTAGATGGGTTTCCTTTATCCGCAACTCTTGGGATCATAATGGAAACAAATAAAACAAAAACATCGATAAGTTCGGCACTCATAAAATAAGCAGAAAATGAATTTGGCAATAGCGTTTTCTCACAACAAAGCTAGTATATTGCAAAAGATGAGTCCACTGGGTCTTTAGAGATTGTTTGGACAAAGACTATGAAGATATTAAAAAATTTTATATATAAATTAAATCACTCTATTTACAGGATAAATTCAAACTAAAATGGCATCTAGTTCTGACACTGCTGTTAGGCTTTATTAACTCACCATATTATGAACGATCTATTAAAACAACTACACCATTTCTATATAATTTGCGAATATATGTTTAACAATGAATAATAAAATTCATCTTTTTATTTTATTTCTTATATTGTACTCTTTTATTATTTATTTTATTTGTTTTCTTTTATATGAAAAGAAAATAATATATAGGTATTATTTTTACACACGCACACATCATTTTGTTAAACAGACACATAGGACATCCTTTAAAGATCCCAAAACGCATTATTCATCCCTATTTTTTTTTTCCGATAAGATTGTTTTCGTAATGAATTCGCCTTTAAGAGATATAGAAAATTTTAGTATAATGTAGGATATTTAGTAAAAAAATATAATAGAAAAAAAAGCACATACTAAGAATAAAATAGGTAAAATATTATTGATATTTTCCTATACAAAATACAATATAAATTTTGAAATAAAGAAAAACCAATAGATTTTTTGCAATAAAAATTGATAATAGAAAGGAAATTACTTGGAAAATTTTAAGAAGTTTTTATACCATGTATTCAAAAACTAAGTAATAAACATAAAAGAAGCTCTACACACCCTATTTAGAAAAATAAATGTAAAATTTGATTTTAGATAATTCACGCTTAAATTCCTCATTTTAATGTATGTAAAGTATGTAATGTATATGTAATTCGCAAGTATAGAATTTAATTTTTGTTTTGACGTTATAGAGGTTGCATATGGTGGAACAGAAGTGTTGCAACTTAGTTATGTCAACCGTTTCGATTTAGAGAACATTTTCCTACATATAATTAACACAAACATTTAATTCGCCGTATTTTCTTAGTAACACATGTTCACATTAAAACAATTCTGAGATAATTCTATTGAAGTGAGGAAAAATCCCTTAGACATATATACAGAGTTGGATTTCCGAGC